TTTTTTTTTTTTTTTTACTTATAACATTTTATTCATTATAAAAATTATGTAAAAATTTAGAAATTATTATGTTATAAATTAGAATTTATTATTATTATGTTAGAACTTAAAACTTATTATGTTGCAAATTATAGTTGATTATCTTATAAATTAGAATTATTATTATGTTAGAACTTAGAAATTACTATGTTATAAAATAGAATTTATTATCTTACAAAATTTATTATTATTATTATGTTATAACTTAAAAATTAATATGTTATAAATTTGAATTGATTATCGATTAAAATTATTTTCTACATTGAAAATTTCCACTTCTTGATTAAAAAATCAATATAATAATTTCATATAGTTCCACTTATGATTATACAATATTACAAACTAATTAATTAATAAAATTATACAATTTTTTGAACTTATATTAGAATACTAATTACTATCAAACTCATTAAAGGTAATTTAATCATTCAACGCTCATTAAGGGTATCTTTGTCATTAATTATAAACTCTAATCACTAATGGGCCCCACCACAACCACCAAACACAAATACCTATCTCTCTCTCACAGTGACACACAGTAACACGCACTAAACTCATGCCAGACGCACACTACACACACTCAATGGTCAGATCCGTCGATCCTCTGGTAAAAAACCGAATCGCCACCGCAACAAACTACCGACACTCACCGCAACAGACTCCTCGACTTCCGGCCAAGACCTGCAACATGGCAGAGGCTAAATATGTGGCCCGACCGTGGAATTATTTTCCGGCAGAAGAGGCGGAGGAAGATGAACGGCAGAGATCTGACGTCGACTGTGAGTTGGCAATGGCCGGGGTCAAGGAATGAGAGATAGACTTCAAGCACCTCGTCTCAGTCTCAGATGCAGAACACTAGCGACCTGGTGGGAAAAGGTGCGCAGCGACGGTCGGCGGGCAGAGGATGGTAGGAGGACGACAACGTCAACACGTTGGGAACGGTGGACAATGGACAAGGGGCTGCATGAGGAGCGAGCTACCGCCGACAGTGGAGAACTGGCCGAATCTATCTCAGGCGACTTCGACATCTGGAGAGTTCGGTCGAGGGCGACGTCGAGGCAAGGGTGGTGGAGATTCAGACGCTGGACCTCAGGTAGTGGTGATCGGCGGTGGGCTAAGGATGAGCAGAGAACTCACAACATGTTCTGGGTGTGGGGGCTTCACTTTGAGAATTTGACAAATTGAAAGGACCCATTTGCAATTTTATCAATTTTATTACATTACATCTCATTCATTGGGTTAAACATTCATTTATAAAAACACTCTTGCACAATATTGATTGATAAAATACACAATAACAATACACGAAATGTACAATATTGTTTGGTGATACACGTTAAAAAAGTATTATATTATTATGAAATTATATAACCGTCGTCGCCTACATATTTAGAAGTTTATAAATTTACCAATTAGCCCACATTATACCAAAATATCCTAATCGAAATTATTGAGTTGAGATTTTGGAAAAAAATGGACGACTTTTTTTATTTAGGTATACGGTGCATTCTTGCAATCAGTAACGTGCAATTCATGTAACACTATTGGGCATACATATATTTTTAATGATTTGTCTCAAATCAATCTAAAACGTAACAGAAATAATCGATTTATTTGATCAGTTGAAAAAGTATTGTAAATATTCAAAATAATTTATTATTTATATTATAAAAATATATTGAGTATTTTAAATTTTATATCTAATATATTTATATTAGTTTTTGGTTCTATGGATACTGATGTGCATTTCGGGTAACAATATTGTGCAAATATTTTTTTTTTTTTTTTGCGTAATGCAAGTTTAGACAGATGTAATAATGTGTATTTCAAAATTCATATTATTGTGGAGTCTTATATACACTAATGTGCATATTGTTCAACATTATTAAGCAGAATATGATTTTTGCATTTTGCAAAGTTGATTTTTTTATTTGCAGTGTTTTTATTCATTATTTAATTTATTTTTATAATTTTTTTAGCATTTTACATTTTTTTTAACATTTTAATTTATTATTTTAATATATATGTATAAAAAATATAAAAAATAGCATTTTTGATGTTATTTTTGTAGATTACAGATTTATCCCAAGTACCCGGTTGAAATATGATCAAAGTTCATGAAATTGAAATTAAGTCCCTAAACATTATCAATTTTCAATAAAAAAAACCCCACAATTCTCCTTCACTTCAACCATCATTCCCGCTGGTGAATCGTCCACGACATGAAACCTGCGCGACAACAACGGCGCCGACGAGTCGCACAGGCGGGACACAGCGCGGCCGCGATAGGACTTCAAGCAGCGACGGCGACATTTTTAGGCGGCGGAGAGCGGAGACGACGTTGGCGTTCTCGATATGTATGACGTCGCGTGAGATGTTGACAGGCTTGTAGATTTCATGAGCGGGTCTGTCGTGCTCAGCTACCGAAAAAATACAAGGTCGAAAAAGATCCGACGGGATCGATGCTGTGGTGACGATGCCGGTGTGGAGGTCGTCATCGGGGAGTAGACGGCGGTGACATATGAGATGGATGAACGTCGGCGCCTGCTGTGTCCGGTGGTCGTGCGGTGGCACCGGGTGGTGCGCTGTTGGGAGCACTTTACTATTTAGGTGTGTGTATTTCTGTGCGCAAGTGTGTGCATCAGTTTGTGTGTGTGTGTGTGTCTGTGTGTGTGTGTGAGAGAGAGAGAGAGAGAGAGAGAGAGAGAGAGAGAGAGAGGTGAGGTGACACAGAGAGATGTGATGTAGAGATTGAGAGTGATTTGTTAGTGGAGTGGGACCCACGTGATGGAATAGGTTTTGGAGAAATTTGTAACACCCCGCCTAAACTTACTAAAATCAGAGTAAATTTTTCGCGCTATAGAAGGAAAGCTCTGATTTAATTTTCGAAAACTCATATTAATTTTTAGAAAGTACTTTAATTTTAATATGCGAGATGCTACGCAACTTTAATCATTAATATCTTTAAACTACTAGGCATGCAATCGAGTATAACTCATTACTCTAAACAACTCAGGATTTAAGCATGCATAGACTGAAATTCTAAATACTAAAATACTGAAATACTATAATACTGAAATACTGAGTGCTGAAGTAAATGCAAGCATGCGTCAACAAAGCATAATAGTAACTCAAACATGTTCAAATATACATGACATGTTTACTAAAAATATCCTTGCTATGACCACCACCACATCATTGGCTCACACTCCACGCTCGACACCGTCACCTGAAAAATGGTTAGTGGGGGGCGTGAGCATAAATGAATCAACGATGCTCCACCAGAACCGACACTGAAATATACAGCTAATATAATAACATATCATGACATCGGCATATATGCAAGTACTTACTGGATCGACAGAAACGATATGATGATGAACATTTTATTGATAGATTAAACATTCATCCAATAAACACTTAAATCGACAAACTATCTATAGTTGCTACTTAACGGACTGCCTATAGCCGTTGCTCAGCTGACTGTCTATAATTGCTACTTGACTGGATGACTATAAACTGATGATCAACTCACTAACTATGATGGCTGCTCGACTGGCTGACTATAATTGTTGCTCAACTAACTAACAATAATGACTGCTCAACTGACTAACTAATTGTTGCTCAACTGACTAACTATAACTGCAACAACGTGAACTAAACATACATCTGATATGATAAACACATCACAACCTAAGCATACATATAATATGATGAAACACATCACAACCTAAGCATACATCTAATATGATAGAACACATCACAAATGCGTATAAATAAGTATATTGTCTATAACTGCTGCTCAATTGTCTATAACTGCTGCTCAACTGACTATCTCTAATTGTTGCTCAACTGACTAACAATAACGACTGCTCAACTTAGTAACTATAATTGTTGCTCAACTGACTAACTATAAATGCAACATCGCGAACTAAACATACATCTGATATGATAAGTACATCACAACCTAAGCATACATCTAATATGATAAAACACATCACAACCTAAGCATACATCTAATATGATAAAACACATTACAAATGCGTATAAATAAGTATATTGTCTATAACTGATGCTCAACTGACTATCTCTAATTGTTGCCCATTTGACTGTTTATAATTGCTGCTCAACTGACTGCTTAACTGGCGAGAAGGACACTAGGTCTTCACGCTCGCGATAAGCAGCTATAGGACCTAATCTGTAGGTTGTTGCCCATACTAGGGCAAAACTAACTCTTATGCACTTCTAATGTTGGAGCTTAACTCACAACTGCACTAGAGTCCATGATACTAACCGGGGATTCGAAACACTTGGTTATGACGACACCTATGTCTAGGTCAAAGACCTTTAGGGAAGAATTATTCTAACCTCGTCTAAAATTCAACTTAACTCAACGTTGTACTAGAATTCTTATCTCATCTTAACTAGCGTTCGGTTCACTTAGGTAAAAAGGATATATTCGCTAGGTAATTGCCCCTATTTTGGCGGACTCTTACATACATACCTCAGCCAGGATAGTGCGATTATAGAAATGTAGTACCTACTACAGGGTCCCCACCTGATATGCTGAACTACAAGTGTTGAATGCTTTGCAACTGTCAGAGGCTCGACTCTCTACAAGCTACAAAATATATAAGCACAAAATATATTCTAAATACTAGGCCTGAACTGAAAACTTGAATCTTATTGTTTGATCTGTCTAGGTTTGCTCGCTCGGCTTTAAAATAATTTTAAGGATTTACGAGCTGATTTTGAAAATTTATTGTCTTTGAGGCATACTAGAGTTCTCTGAAATATTTTTAAGTCTAAAACTATATTCTGACTGACTTTCAATCTAACTGGTTCAGAAAAATACTGAAAATCTCGGTTGACGCTCAAATCGATGTTCCGAACATGAACACCCGAATCGTCCGGACTGCCCGAACCAATTCGGCTGAACTGAAATTCCCTGCGAAATACATATCTAAAATTATATCTGAAATATATATGAAATTCATACTGATATATATATATATATGAAATACATATGAAATTCTATCTGAAATATATATCTAAAATTCTATCTGAAATATATATCTGAAATTTCTCGAACCGTCCGGACTGCCCGGACTGGTTCGCCTGAACTGCACCGACGGCTCACTCGAAGTCGGTCGATCATTCGCTTGACTATGTTCAGCTCGATTTGACCATGGTCCGGGTTCGACGTGGCAACTCGAGCCGGCACGAACTCGGCTGACACGGCGTAGCCGATGCATGGGTTTGAGATGGTACCACGGTCAATGACGCAGGGGCGTGCTTGGACCACGGCTAACGGAAATGGCGCATAGATGGTAGATCGGATGGACTCGGTGCACGGGCACGCACTCGGTGGTTTGACTCGGACTCTGAGCACGGGCACGCACTCGGTGGTTCGGCTCCAATGGTTTGAAGAGAGTCGAACACGTGAGCGGGATGAAGATACGCGTAAAAATTGATACTACGACGTCTAAAATTATTTAAACAGTGCTAGGGTTCGATCCATAAGACTCAGATCCGAAAATTACCCGGCTATCGAAACCGGTTAAAATTTGGGTTTTTGATTCTCGAAAATTCTAACTCATTTTAAGTTGATATTTAAATTACTAATTTCTATGTAATTTATATCGATTTTATAATCAACAACTGCAGCTAAAATCGTATCTGGCTAATATTCTAAAATATCGCGAATTAAAGTTAACGTCTCAAATTTTAATCTATATCAAACGGTGTCCAAAAATTAAGAAATTCGAAACATAGTGTCCTCATCATATACGTAGTCCATGGTCGAAATATCGCAACTCAATACAACTCTTAACCAATTCAACTAGTAATCGCTTCAACCGGTCAAATACTTCAAAAATCTCGTTCGTCCATCAAACGAACTCCAAATATTCTCAAATGCGCACCTAAACCTCCAGACATCAAAACTTATTTTATATAATTTATTTCATCATTTTATTGCACTTATATCAAAGGCTCGAACAAAATCCAGTTCAAGCTCGATAAATCCCATTAAATCCAGTTCAAGCATTTTTATGCCATGACTACCTGTCTGTCATTGAGTGAGCCCGTTGGTCCACCTCCACCACCAAATCCCTGAAAGACCTGGTTAGCTACCCCGTTAGTGGGAGTTCCGAGCTCACCTTCTTTATTTGTTCGGCATGCTACACCTCTTAGGGTCGCTGTTTGTTTCTGAGTTTCTATTGCCAACGTTGAGTTGACACCTATTGCCGGCAACGTTTCCTTCGGCGGGATGGTCACTTGTGACCACCCTGGCGAGGGTCCAGACCCAAATGCTATTTGAGTCCATGCGTCATCCATGTCTTGGCTATTTGAGTCCATGCGTCATCCATGTCTTTTATCAGATTCTTTTATGAATTTTCCCCCATCATGCTTCTCATATTCTTCTTCTTACTTAGTGAGAAAAAAAAATCATTCTCTTATATCCAGTAGAAACTGAAGGTGTCCCACAGACGACGTCAATTTGAAAAGTCAAATTGTCTCGAATCGCTCGACCGCTCCTCTCGAACCGGGTTATGTCTTCTCGATCACCGGTACCTGCAAAACACGCTGGGGGTAGTTCCAACGCGAACACTTCGATGCTCAAGTCACTGGGATTCGAGAGAAAACTAGTAAAGTAACGAGACAAAGTTTAATTTTGTGTCGTGTGTTGTTTTTAAATATAGAAAACATGTCCCCTTTATATAATGACAGTGAACCTGCCCTGCAGGACTCCTGGTATGATAGAGCTCCACTTTCGTCCATCTCTTTGACTAAGCATATCTCATATAACCGCCAGAGTCTCAGTCACACATGATTCCTTTGATTAATAGGACTCTACTTCCATACATTACATGAAAGTTTAATGTCTCAGTAAGCTAAGCAGCTCGGCCACTCACCCTTAGGAAATCTGTCCTTTACCTAGTCATGCATATGCCGACCTCCTCGGTCTGGCTCATCAGTCATCATTGTCGAGCTCATCCCGACCGTTCTTTACGTGGGCCTATAATAACACCTTAGATCCTGCAACTCGCATTGATGTCGTTCTCAACAACGAGATCAATACCCTTTTCTGCCGAGCTGGCCACCCATCACATGTCGATACTCACCGAGCTAATAGTACTATTCCATATCTTTTCCAGGATGGCAAGTCAACTGAACTCTTGTCGACGTCACAAAAGCTGTGATTCCTTTATGTTTTCTCACCGATCTGTTATTCTCCATCATGACCCATTTTTGCTCCATGTTATTTTATGTCGCATCACCTCTTTAACGGGCTCATATCATAGTAGCCATGCATATGCCGAGCTGATTTCTCAACACCCATGAATTTCTAATTCACCGGTCTTATTCTTCCGATCTGGTTTCTAATTGAGCTAATGAGATTTTGCAGCTATATGAGATGCAAAAAGTAGAATTGAAATGAGATTCTTAGAGTGAAAAGTGACTTGCTTCATTTTGCAGCTATATGAGATGAAAGCAAATAGGAATCTGCCTGTGCTGCGGAACGAAGAGAGCCTAGGTAACGAGTGTTAGAGGCAAGGACAACAGGTCTTACTCTTGTTTTGCCTTATGGGGTTATGGTAGTATGTCACATCAAATGCATATATTTAAAAAGTTTGTAAGAAAAAGTCTGCATTAAATGCTTCTAAAATTTTTTACTGTTGGGCTCCAATGCGCAAATGCGGAAGGTGTAAATTAAAATATCGATGTAAAATGGTGAACAATAATCCCAATCCCAGCAACTCAAGAATGAAAAAAGAAATCTCTTGCAATAAAACATGAATAATTCTTTTTCTGATGTTGAAGATCATATTAAACTGCGACCACAGAACATACTAAGAATATCCCAAATAAATATTATATGCAAGAAAGAAGACACCGAGATTTAACGTGGAAAAACCTTCAATGTAGAGGAAACAACCACGTGACAACCTCTGAATTATTTCTCTATATTTTCAAGATAATTACAATATCTTTTCACATTGCCTTACACTAGAAATGTAAAATATAGTGACCCAGTGAGATCCCATTCTTATTCAAATATTACAAACAAGGAATAATTTACTCAAACACTCTATTTTTCTCTCACAGAAAATCTAACACTCACAGAAACTAGATATTGTTTATGTTGTTTCTTCTCTTTTTCTTTCTTGCTTGTTGCATCCTTCAGCACTTGAGTGCTGCTATTTATAGAGGTGAGTTGTTACCAATTTTTCAAAATTGGCAACCCATATCAACCATTCATTACTGCTACAATTTAGTGAGAAGCTGTTGGTCAAATTTGATTGGCTGGATGCTGACAATTCTCCTCCTCCAACAAAATTAAGAGAAATATACTACAATTCTTTACATGCATATTATGCCTATCAACTCGAGACAAAGATGAAACTTTCCCCCTGTTACAACTTTCGTCATCATGTCAGCAGGGTTTTCATCAGTGTGAATCTTTTCTAACTTGAACTGTTGTTCTTCCACTACTTGACGTAGCCAATGATATCTAACATCAATGTGCTTCGTACGAGAGTGATACATCACATTCTTACTTAAATCCAATGCGCTTTGACTATCGCAATGGATATCGTACCTTTTCTGCTTCTTTCCCAATTGTTGAAGAAACCTCTTCAACCAAATCATTTCTTTTCTTGCTTTTGTCATTGCAATGTACTCGACTTCAGTAGTCGACAAGGCAACATATTTCTGTAATTCAGATTGCCAAGATACAGCTCCTCCTGCAAACGTAAACACAAGCCCTAAAGTAAATTTTCTACTATCCAAGTCACCTTCCATATCCGCATCTATATAACCTTCAAGAACTGGTTTTCCTTTACCGAAGCTCAAGAATTTATTTGCACTGCATTTTAGGTACCTTAAGATCCACTTCACAACTTCCCAAACTGGTTTTCCTTTACCGAAGCTCAAGAATTTATTTGCACTGCATTTTAGGTACCTTAAGATCCACTTCACAACTTCCCGATGGTTTTTCCCAAGATTGGAAAGATACCTGCTAACAACTCCAACCGCGTGAGCGATNNGTCTTGTACATACTATGGCATACATCAAACTCCGACTGATGAGGAGTATGGAACACCCGCCATAGCTTCTTTTCCTTCTTGACTCGTAGGATAACTTTGTTTGCTGAGTTTGATGTGATTGGCCAACGGTGTATTGACTCGATTTCATGTTGAATCATTTCAGAATCCGATTTACATACCGTTCTTGCGATAACCATAACATCTTAGATTTTCGGTCTCGCATGATCTGCATGCCCAAAATTTTTTTCGCCGGGACCACATCCTTCATATCAAAGGACTTTGCTAATTCCTTCTCGAAATCACCAATCAGCTTCATATCATATCCCACTATCAACATATCATCTACATATAACAAAAGGCTAATGATTTTATCACCTGGAAATTTCTTAACAAATACACAATGATCTGCATCAGTCTTTGTATATCCATGACTAGCCATGAACGAGTAAAATTTCTTGTACCACTCTCTTGGATCTTATTTCAGTCCATACAAGCTCTTCTTCAATCTGCAAACCATGTGCTCATTTCCAGTCTTCTCATCCTTTTGGTTGCTCTATGTAGATTTCTTCATCTAGGTCTCCATGATGAAATGCAGCCTTCACATATAGTTGTTCAAGCTCCAGATCCAAGCTAGCCACCAATCCAAGTATTACTCGAATCAAGCTCATCTTTACAACTTGTGAAAAGATCTCATCAAAATCTATTCCTCGCTTTTTGTCCAAATCCTTTCACGACTAGACAAGCCTTTTACTTCAACATATTGTCACCATCTTTCTTAAGCATGAACACCCATTTATTTTTTAAGGCTTTTCTGCCTTCCAGAAGCTTCACAAGCTCATAAGTTTTATTTTTCGCCAGTGAATTCATTTTTTCTTGCATAGCTTTCATCCACTGGGATTTATCCTTATGAGTCTGTACTTTTTCAAAGTTTTCTAGCTCCCCCTCTTCAGTGATGGTAATGTATATAGAACTAGGGTATCTCGTAGACGGTTGGATTTCTCGATTTGATCCCCTGAGCTGAGGCAGAGCTTTGAGGTGTTATTGCTCAACACCTTCACCATCACCATCTTCAATTTCTGGTTCATTATCAACTCCAAGTTCTTCATCATACTCTCCATCTACTGTGGCATCTCTAGGAGGTTTAACAGGTGAAAGATCCACCTTACCACCTGGTTCTCTAGTTTCTAGTCAAGCAGAATATGACATAGTTTCTTGCTCATGGAACACTACATCTCTGCTTCTGATAATTTTTCGATTTTCTGGATCCCATAACCTGTATCCAAATTTCTCATCTCCATAGCCCAGAAATATACAAGGAATGACTCTTTCATCAAGTTTTGTCTCTGTTCCTTTCTTACGTGAACAAAAGCTTTACATCCAAACACCTTTAAATGAGAGTATTTAACATCATGACCGGACTATACTCTCTCAGGGATATCATAGCCCAACGAAACAGATGGAGATCGGTTGATCAGGTAGCACCGTTAGAACAACTTCACCCCAGAATGGCTTAGGTAGCTTAGCCATTCTTAACATACACCTCACTTTCTCCATAATGGTTCTATTTATTCTTTCCCATACCATTATGTTGTGGGGTTCCAGGTACAGTCTTCTCATGCCTGATGCCATGATCAGCACAATAATTCTTGAATTCATGGGAAGTATACTCCTCTCCATTATCTGAGCGAAGACACTTCAAAGGTTACCAGCCTGTCTCTCCACCATAGAATGAAACCTTTTGAAGTACTGAAAAACTTGGTCATTCGTTTTAAAGAAGTACACTCACAATTTTCGTGAAACATCATCAATAAACGTCACGAAATATCTGCTACCACCGAGGCTCTCCACTTCCATGGGTCCACATACATCAGAATACACCATATCTAACACATTCTCTTTCAGATTCGAGGTTTCACTGAAAGACACTCTATGATGCTTCACAAAGAGACAATGATCACAAGGATTTAGTTTTGAATCTTTGGCAAATGGGATGAGGGACTTTCTTACCAAAATTTGCAATCCCTTTTCACCAATATGAGCCAGTCTTTTGTGCCACAAATTTGGCGAAGCATCATCTTCGACTGCATTAAGTCCACCTTTGATCAGCTTTACTTGAGTTCTGTACAATGTCGATCTCACTGTACCTTTAGCAGCTAACAATGATCCTTTGGTAAGCCTCCATGTGCCGCTACCAAAATTGTTAGTATAGCATGCTTGATCCAGCGCATGCACAGAGATCAGATTCAGACATAAGTCAGGTACATGTTGTACGCCTTTCAGTGTTATTATGCACCCAATATCAGTTTGAATGCACACATCACCAACTCCCACAATATTTGCAATGCTGCTGTTTGCCATCTTTACTCTACCACAGTCTCCTTCTTTGTATAGAGAAAAGAATTCCTTGTGAGAGGTTTCATGGTAAGATGCAGGTGAGTCAATGACCCATTCAACACATGAATCTGCAACATGACATTATTCTTCTTCAACAGAGAGCAACACCATTTCCCCATTGATCACAGGGGTTATGGTATTTTCATCGTTCTCTGATTTGTTGTTCTTTTCAGGCTTTGCAGTTTCTTTTGATATGCCCTTTTTCACCGCAGTGATAATACTTGAATTTTCTACTGGGTTCAGATTGTAATTTATCTCTGGATTTGTTATTACGGCCTCTGCTTTTACTTCTTCCCCTGGTTTCGGTGACCAGGGCTTGGGAGCTGCTTGCACCAGATTCTTTTGTTCTTGTTTTTCTTCATTAAACATACTGTCTTTAACTTGGGTCAAAGTCAGTTTTCCTTCAGGGGCAGAGTTGCTCAACGAGACCACCAGAGTCTCCCAGCTATCTGGTAAAGAACTTAAAAGTAACAACATCTGCAGTTCTTCATCAAGTTTCATCTCCATGGTAACGAGTTGGTTCACCATGTGTTGAAATTCATTCAGGTGCTCAGCAACTGATCTTCCATCCTAGTATTTTAAATTTACAAGTTTTCTAATGACGAAGGCTTTATTATGTGCAGTCTTCCTCTGATACATTTGTTCAATTTTGTTCCACAGAGTATGGGCTTTCGACTCTGTGGCAACATGGTGGAATATGTTGATATCCACCCATTGCCTGATTAAACTGACATCATTTTTATGTAATTTTTTCCAATAGTCATCCTTCACTTCATCTGTTTTGTTGTCTCCCTTTTCTTTAGGATCATATAGATCTTTGTAGAAAAGTATGTCCTCCATTTTTGGCTTCCAAATGGAGTAATTTGTTGCTGTTAGCTTCACCATGGTACCCACGTTTTTCTCCATTTAATTTACACTAGTTGATACAAAGCCCAGTTGATCTCTGATACCTCTTGTTGGGCTCACATGCACAAATGTGAAGGTGTAAATTAAAATATCGATGTAAAATGGTGAACAATAATCCCAATCTCAGCAACTCAAGAATGACAAAAGAAATCTCTTGCAATAAAACAACAATAATTCTTTTCTGATGTGGAAGAGCAGATTAAACTGCGACCACAGAGCATACTAAGAATATCCCAAATAAATATTATATGCAAGAAAGAAGACACCAAGATTTAAAGTGGAAAAATCTCCAATGTAGAGGAAAAAACCACGGGACAACCTCTGAATAATTCAACTATATTTTCAAGATAATTACAATATCTTTTCACACTCCCTACACTAGAAATGTAAAATATAGTGACACAGTGAGACCCCATTCCTATTCAAATATTACAAACAAGAAGTAATAGAAATGATACTCAACCTGGTCTAATTTTCTCACACTTACAGGATTGACTCAAACACTCTATTTTTTTCTCTCACAACAAATCTAACACTCACAGAAACTAGATATTGTTTCTGTTGCTTCTTCTCTTTTTCTTTCTTGCTTGGTGCGTCATTCAACACTTGAGTTGCTGCTATTTATAGAGGAGAGTTGTTACCAATTTGTCAAAATTGGCAACCCATAGCAGCCATTCATCACTGCTGCAATTTAATGAGAAGCTGCTGGTCAAATTTGGTTTTTTTT